ATATAAATTTTTTCTTTTCAATTTGCTTTTGTGTTTGTATATTGAATGTCAATTGTTATGGTTTGGAATATGCAAGCTGATGATAGATTTTATGGAAACCAAAGTTGAGCATCGAAATAAAAATTTTGCCTTCAGGGTGATGTCTGGTATCTCGGAATTTTTATTTTTATTTTTTTTTTGTTTTGTTTTCTCATGACTAAGCACATACATTCTGCTTGATCATACATATTTTTTCCATTATTTACACACACACACACACACAGACAGAATTGTGATGATGGAATAAAAATTTCACAACATCATCATCATCATCATCAACGTTAAATGGAATTTTAAAATCCATTTTTTTAAATTTAAGTCAAATAAAAAACAAAATAAAATCATTTGAAAAAAAGGATGAATGACGTTGTTTTTCAATGGTGTTAGGAAAATTCTTTATTTATTTTTTTTTTTTTTTTTCACAAGAATTTCCAATGTGCTAAGATGAGAGATTAAACACTTAATGTAATTATATATTATTCTTGGATTCTTGGATAATAAGGCATTTGAATGAATGAATGAAAAAAGATTAAATTGAATTAAATTAAATTAAATTACATGGATGTTTGAGTGATTAAATCAAATTTTCCTTTTTCTTTTTGCTTTATTTATCATTTTCAATGAACACAAGAATGATTCGTGAAACTTGAAAATTGTCTTGATGCAACATGTTGATGCACAGCGGTGGATTTACCATTTGCCCATGGAATGGTTGATCCACCACTGATGATGGAAATTATTTTTTTCATTTTCTTTTGATTTCCTAATTCTTTCAAATATATGGATCGGTTTTTTTTTGTTTTTTAAAACAAAATCGATCGATCTGTCATCATCATCATCATCATCATAATTCCTGATAAATTTCCAAAGGCAAAATTTTCACTTTTGTTGTTCCGGTTTCTGTTTGTCATCAATAATAATATGATGATGATGATAAAACAACAACAACAACAACAATATTCTTGTCGTGTTAATTTTTTTTTTACTTGTCTTTTATTCATGAAAAAAAACATCGATTCATCAAAGATAATTATCATCCCACAAATCCACATATAAAGTGACAGTGTGAAGAACATATAAACACACACACACACTGTACAGAATACATGCTTTGATCAAAAACAATAAATGACGAGCCAAAAAAAAAATATCCAGAATCAAGTTGAATTCTGGTGAATCCAAATAAACATCATCATCATCATCATCATCGAATGGGAAAAAAACATGAATGAATGAGACACACACACACACCGGGTGGATCTTTTTCTTTTTTTTTCTTCTTTTGAAGCCCCGTTTTTTTTTTTAGACTAGACACACGAAGGTTATGTTTGTGGAACAGAACAAATTTTCATTTTTCTTCTTTTTTTTTTTCTATAAAATCCATAGTAGTCGATATCCATCATCATCATCATCATCATTGATTAATGATTATATTTCGAAAACAAAAACAAAACGATGAATGATGTTTCATGTTGACGATAATAATAATAATAATAATAATAGCTATTATATCAAATGTTGATCCAGTGTTGATTGTTGTGAACATGTGTATCAGAAAAAAATAGAAGAAAAATAAAAGAAATGAACAAACGAAAGATTCCCAGCTGAGAATTGTTCCCGAAAAATTAAAAAAAAATAACAAAATGAATAATTATTTGGAAATCATTTTGAAGAAAAACATACACATACAAAAAAGGAATGAACAAGAAAAAAAAATCAATAATAATAGAAAAGAAGATCTGTATGCGGATCTAGTAGTAATATAATAAGTAGTATTAAGATTTTCATTTTCATTTTTTTTCACTGAAAAATTTATCCTTGTGTTCAAATTGTTGTGAAACACTTGAAACACAAAAAAAATATTGGCACAAAAACCGCACACACTTGTGATTAAATTATTTAGTAGATAATATAAAGCAAAAAAAAAGGTCTCAAATCTCAAGTAGGGAATCAATTGATTATCAATATATCCTGGAAAATGATAATGATAATGATAAATTCAATGGCAGCAACCAATTAGATCCTGTTATACTCATCAATGACGTTTTTTTGTATTGATTCTACGTTTTTTTTTGTTCTGTTTCAATGACTATATTTTTTTTTTTTAATTGGATTCATTTTCAAGTCAAATCGATACAATCGATTCTTGTGTCTGTGTATTTTTTGAATCGTTCATTCTCTAATTATCAAGATTTGTCAACATTTTTTTTTTAATTCTAAATGACCAAAATTAACTTGTCAACACTGACCATTCATTCATTCATTCATTCATTACAAACTAAACTTGACCAAATCATAATTAACACACACACAGAAAAATATTGATGCACAGAATAGATGCAAGAAAAAAAATGCAAAAACAACAACGAATATTTGATTAGAATTCAGTAGTGAAAAGCAAAAAACAAAATTGGATCGTACAAGTATCGTATACCGTACTTGGTTGGTTAGTTAGTTAGTTAGTTAGTCAGTCAGTTTTGTTTGTTTTGTTTTTTTCTTTGTTTTGTTTTTTTTGCATAGCTTCATAAGGAATTTTCTTTTCAATCTCTTATTTTCTCTTTTTTTTAATATTCTATATGTTCCATAATGATGATGATGATGATGATTATAATAATATAAGAAAATGTGAAAAGAAAAAAATAAAAGAGTGGCTAAATTATTATGAAGCATAATGAGATCTTTAGACTGATGATGATGATGATGATGATGACTCAAACTTAATAAGCTAAAATGAGACTATGAAGAGGAAAAGAGAAAATCTAGATTCTAGAAAAAAGGCTTCATTCAACAACAACAACAACAATAATAATGAAATTTTGATGAACTGAAACGCCGGCTAACGGAAAGCATCCAAGACCTATTTAGGTGATGGTGTGTTTGTTTGTTGTTGCCATAATATATTCTTGACAAAAGACTTTGACTTTTGACTATACGATTATGCAAATGGATCGTCATCATCATCATCATCAACAACAACAACAACAACAGACAAGCTAAAAATGTTTTTTTTTCGAGATTCAAAAAATAAATAAAAAAATCTTTTACATTCAACATTTTACATGTGAATGTTGCTAAGATATATTTTTTTTGTCTCCATTTTTCAAGTTTTTCATATTGCAACATTATTCAAGATAAAACTGGCAATAAAAATTTTTTTTTTTTTGGATTTACTTCTTTCAGTATGAATCTGATATTTAAAAAAAACAATTCAAGATGCTCAAAAATCAGATCAAGCCAAATGAATGTATTATCACCATCTCATCAGACAAATAATTAGTTACCGAGAATGGATAGTAGTTGAATTATATTGTTACTATCATCATTATCAATCATCATCATTATTATTACGATAATAACTCGTTAGTTTCATTATAAGATAATAATGATGATAATGATTACATTTTCCACATTGATATTCTAAAAATTACTATGAAAAATTTGTCATCATGGTTCCCGAAATGAATCTAGCCTAGGAAACATGATCGTTGAAATCTATGAATACAAACAACAAATGAATATTAAAAAAAAATTTAAGAATGAGAAAACAATGTTGATGAATAAATCTTATTCATTCGTTCATTCATCGATCGGAATTGTAATGTTATTGCATCAATTCGATAATAGCAAACAAGTCTGTAACGAAGAAAAAAATAACTACAAAAAATTATCACTAATACCTAAATAGATATATTTTCAAATAGATCGTTAGGATAATGAAAAACTTTTTTTTCTTGGCAATCTTTTGATTGAAAAATTTTCAAGAAATATTCTAAATTGAATTTCAATTTAAAAATGACGAAAGAATCGCTTAATTTAGATATATGAAACATATGATGATGTAAATTATAAGAAAAAATTAAGAAATCTTATATTTGGAATGAAAGAAAAATATGAAAATTTTTTTCACTAGAATCAAGATTCTAGATACATTTTGTTTGCGTAATTTCACAAAAAAAAATTTACACTATTTATGCAATCATAATATGGCAAAGAATTGAGCCAATTGTTTAATCGTCGATTTATATTATCATTATTAACATTTTTTTTTTTTTTTTTTTTTTTTGATTATTATCATCATCATCATTTGTTAGGGTGAAAAGTTGGATTCCAATACAGCGGAAAGGGGGAAGGCAGCGCGAGGCCTTGTGCGGTGCACAGTTTGCACAGGCACCTCGGCCGGCCCTGATCATCATTATTATGAATTATTCAAGCGTAAACCACAGCCGCCGTTGCTGTCATTTTCATCACTGCTTTAAGTTTAACACAATTACTAACAATCATGATGCTTTTCAATGTTATTTCATTTTTGTTTTTTGTTTCTCCTTTTCTTATTATTTTCATAGATTGCGAATTTATTAATACAATTAAAAAAAGAAAATAATAATTCTATACCAATTAAACGATTGAACCTTTCATATAAAATGTTATTATCATCTGATTTATCAATTAAATGTTGTGATGATTAACATTTTTTTTTTTTTTTTTTGATTTATAATATCGATTGTTTGTCCAGATGGACACTCACGTCTATAGCTCGTAAGCATCTTACATACATAAATTATAACTGACTGATAAACAATCAAGACATTGATTGATGATCAATTTGCAATCTTTAGGGAATTTCTAAATTAAAAATGACAAACCAAACGGATGATTCAATGATGATAATAAGGTGAAATTTAAAAACATATAAAATTATAATATTAATCCAAGGTTCAATCGACCGACTTTTAATGATGAGTGAAAATTTCGTATCCCAAGAAACCGTAAGTAAATTTATTATTTTTTTTTTTTATACCGGATTCTATTAATTAGTTTTATCAATTTTCCGTCATGTGAAAGATAGATTCGCATAAAAAAATTAGAATGATGATGCTCATGTTATCTCAATCATTAAATATGGAGGAATATCGATCAATCGATCAATCAATTTTTTTCCATATATAAACCATAAAAATTGTACCATTAAGACATTGAGTTTTGTTCTGAAAAAAAGTCATCTATTTAGAAATTGAAAAAATGCTCAAATCAATTATTTTGTTTGCCACCTTTGTGTCAATCACATTGGCTCAACCTGAACTGGCATCACTTGAAGCTGATGGTTTTCTTACCGATGAATACATCGATTATTTGAATAATATCAAATCCAGTACCTGGAAGGTTTGTTGTTGAAATTTTTCATAAATTGATTTTTGAATTTGTAATTAATTATTTTTCTTTCTACCTAATACAGGCTGGACGAAATTTCAACAAACATATTAATACCGATTATGTACGTGGTTTATTAGGTTCACTTGATCAAACATTGCCATTGGAAACATCGTTGCCCACCAAATATGTTTCAAACATTGATACTAAATCAATTCCAGAAAATTTCGATTCCCGAACACAATGGCCAAAATGCAAAACAATCAAACAGATCCGTGATCAAGGAACTTGTGGATCATGTTGGGCTTTTGGTGCTGTTGAAGCTATTTCTGATCGTATCTGTATTGCTACAAATGGTACTACTGATGTTATGATCTCAGCTGAAGAACTATTATCCTGTTGTCGTAATTGTGGTTATGGATGCAAAGGTGGTTGGACGTTGCCAGCATGGTCTTATTGGGTTTCAAATGGTTTGGTTTCCGGTGGCTTGTATGGAACAAGTGATACATGTGAACCTTACACCATTCAACCATGTGAACATCATACTACGGGTCCATTACCACAATGTTCTCAACTAGGTGAATCCCGTACACCTAGATGTAAGCAACAATGCGTTTCTGGATATACTAAATCATTCCAACAAGATAAACATTATGGACAAAAGGCCTATAATGTTATCAGGATGCAATCACAGATCCAACATGAAATTATGACCAATGGCCCGGTAGAAGCAGGTTATATTGTCTATTCAGATTTTGTAAACTACAAAAGCGGTGTATACCAACGACACAGTAGCCAAACATTAGGTGGTCATGCTATCAAAATTCTTGGTTGGGGCGTTGAAAATGGTACACCATATTGGTTGTGTGCTAATTCCTGGAATACTCGTTGGGGTGATGAAGGTTTTTTCAAAATTCGTCGTGGTACTAATGAATGTGGTATCGAAAGCAATATTGTTGCTGGTATTCCAAGAACCAATTAAATGAAAAAAATTATTTCCAATAACTTTATTCATTCATTTATAATTTGAAAATGAAATTCAATTAAAATTATTTAAAAAAAATAACCATTAAAAACAATCAAATTTTATCACACACACACAAAAAAAAAACAAGAATATATTTTGCACGCGTAAAAATACCTGTACACAAACACACACACACCTGCATACATACACTATTGATATGGTAAATGGCAAACGATTGTCTCATTGTTGTTGATGATTATCATTGATTAAAAAAGAAAAAAAAACTGTCATATTATGATGAATTTTCTTGTTCATCTTTTATCAGAAGAAGAAGAAGAAGAAAAATAATGATAATAATTTACCTAAATAGAAAACTTTTTCTATACAATGTATGTCATTTTGAAATAAATGACAATTGAATGTGTGTGTGTATGTGTGTTTTATATCTATCTATCTATATATCCATATCTATGAATCTTTTTTATGATTGTGTGTGTGTGTGCGTACTTTTTTTCGAATAATCGACGCCCATTCCGACATAGACAAACACATTCATACTAATAAAAAAAAAATTGAAAATGCTCAAAAAAAAAAAAATTTGCACTCTAACATTATATATTGCATTAACGGAAAAAAAAGGTTGAAGAGGCACTCGTTTTAATTAAATCAAGATTGATCGTCTTGATTAATTGATTGATTAGATTGGATTAGCGTAAAGGAAACTACTACTACTACTACTACTACTACTACTAGTGATACTAAGGAATGAAATGATTCCATGAACTTGTGTGTGTATGTGAGAGAGAGAGAGAGAGAAAAAAGAAAGAAAATAAAACGAAGACAGGAGGCAGCCAGCGAATATATTTAGGGTTCAATATAATAGAAAGCTTGATCATTAAGATGGAAAATAGAAAATGATTCTCGACTTGGTTTCAATCTTGGTAACGTCCGGAATTAACGTTTTTTTTCTCTTCTCTTCATTTTTCCTTTCATTTGTTTTTGAAAAAAGGCTGATGATGATGATGATGATGATGATGAAAGTGATATTCGTTCGTTTGCATTTCATTTTTGTCATCCTACTGCCAACCCTAAGAACCCACATACACACACACACACTTTTCCCAATTTTCATACACACAAACACACACACACACACAACATGACGCCATTTTATTCGCTATAACGAATTTCTCATCGCTTCATTTGCATAATTTACGATGTCTTATGATATGGTTGGATTTTTTTTTTTTTTCTTATTTCCATAAGATTTTTCTTCTTTTTTTTTTTTTTATACCACTTATATTTTACATTCATATTAGGCCACTTGACTCATTACGGATTTGTTTTTTTTTCTTGATCAAGATGCGTGCCTGTGTATGTGTGTGTGTGTGTTTTTGGTTAATCCTTGAATTTTTTTCTTCATTTGTTTTACAATTCAATTAGTTTGTTTTGCACACACACACACACACACAATGTCATCATCATCATCATCAAATTGTCAACACAATTGATTAAATTTTAATTAGGGTCAAAGGACAAGGTGATATCCTGTTTTGATAATCCACATAAATTATGAAAAATCACCTGATTAAACCAGGCTTATCGTGACAAGGATATGCATGTATTCAATGATAAAGAGATAAATCTACAGAAATAAATCTCAAGTATTCTTGATTATCTGATCTAACCTAATTGAAACAAAAACCACAAAACAAAACAATATATATATGGTCGTTATAATGACGTTGATAATCATCGATCACACATTGTTCTTGGCAGTTTGCTGATCATTTTATTAAAAAAAAAAAACAAAAAATGTTTTTCAAATTTGGCATTATTTTTGCCATTGCTACCGTTGCATTGGCCCGTCCAGAACCTGAACATGTTGATTTTTTATCCGATGAATACATTGAACATTTGAATAGCCTGAAAACTACATGGAAGGTAATTGCTTATTTTTCTTTTATCTCTTTTTTTTCATTTAATTCAATTGGATTTATATACTATATTCTTTAATTATTAATAGGCTGGTCGAAACTTTGACCGCGATACACCAATGGAACAAATTCGTGGCTTGATGGGTGCTCGTTTGGAAATTCCAGCTGAAATGGCTTCTCGTATTCCCGTTGTTAAACATGATCATATCAGTGATGAAAATATTCCAGAAAATTTTGATGCCCGAAAACAATGGCCAAACTGTAAATCAATTCAACAGATCCGTGATCAAGGATCATGTGGTTCATGCTGGGCTTTCGGTGCCGTTGAAGCTATTTCTGATCGTATCTGTATTGCATCTGGACAAAAAACTCAAGTAGAAATTTCGGCTGAAGATTTATTGACTTGTTGTAAAAGCTGCGGTTACGGTTGTCGAGGTGGTTATCCACCAATGGCCTGGGATTATTGGGTCCAAAGCGGTCTTGTTAGCGGTGGCTTATATCATGACAAAAATACTTGCCGACCATATACAATTGAACCATGTGAACATCATGTTGAACATGGTTCTCGGCCTAAATGCACTGGTTTTGTAAATACACCAGCATGTGTTCGCCAATGTCAATCTGGTTACAATGGTACATATGAACAAGATCGCCACTATGGTCAATCAGCTTATCATGTACATCATGATGTTCAAGATATTCAAAAAGAAATAATGACCCACGGTCCAGTTGAAGCTACATTTTTAGTTTATGCTGATTTCCTTTCATACAAAAGTGGTATCTATCAACGACAAACTAATTCGATGGTCAGTGGTCATGCTATCAAAATTCTTGGTTGGGGTGTTGAAAATGGTACACCATATTGGTTGTGTGCTAATTCCTGGAATACTGATTGGGGTGAAGCTGGTTATTTCCGCGTATTACGTGGCCGTAACGAAGTGAGCATCGAATCACAGATCTATGCAGGTTTGGCTAAATAATTTCATTTGAAATTTCATTATTTATTATCTGAAAACAACAAAAAAAAATTATTTTTCAACAAATTTGAATAAAAAAAAAATTCCCAGAAATAATTATCTAATTCAAAAGTGATCATCAATCAACTAGATTTAATGTGATATTTTCTAAATTTCAACACATGATAAACAAAAAATCACCGGCTAAAACTGGTTCCTGTTTATGCTTCACTATAGTGAAACAAAAATATCATATCCCGGATAGATTTGAAAAAAAACAACAACAAAAAAAATAACAATTAAAACGTCAACATTTTGTTGTCTGTTGTTATTGTTTTTTCCGTTCTGGTTACCAAATGAAAATGATTACATTCAATGCTTTTGATAGGAAATTGAAATTGGAATTTCATCATTTCTGGAAGCTACTGCTATTCATCATGGCAGAAAAAAAAACATCCTGTCAAGTCATAAGATTTTCTAAAAAAAAGAGTTAAGTTTTTTGTTTGTTTGTTTGAAATATGAACATGAAATATGAATGAAAAGATTTAAAACATAAATAATCAACAATTTATCATGATGATCAACATTATCAACGAAATCGATGTCGTCAATATGCCTCTTTTTTAACAGTTAAAATCATTATGATTATGATGATGATTAAATTTTTCAAATCATTTAAATACCAGCAATTAATCAACTGATTCAATGCATACACATAATTGAATGAAAAATGATTAAATACAATTCAATTCAAATCATATTGATATTGGCTATTTTAACAGAGACAATTGCAGCCAATGTAACAGATGTTTCGATCAATCAAATTGAAGATTTTTTATCGGATAAATTTATTGATCTTTTGAATCAATTGAATTCCACATGGAAAGTATGTTTTTTTTTGTTGTTTTGTTTAATTCAAATAGTTTACAAAAAAAATTCATTTTTTTTCAAAAAAATAGGCTGGACGTAATTTTGATCCCAAAGTGACAGCAAAGAATCTTAAATGTTTGCAAGGTTCAATTGAAGAAACAATGGAAGAATATCAACCGAAAATACGTAATCGACGACAATCTATTATTAATGAATATCTTCCAGATTTTTTTGATGCTCGTCAAAAATGGCCACTATGCCGTACAATATCATTGATACCGAATCAAGGACAATATTGTAGTTCATGTTGGGCTGTAGGTGTCGTACAAGCAATTAATGATCGTATATGTATTGGTTCAAATCAAAAAATTAATGTAGAAATTTCAGCTCAAGATTTGCTCACATGTTGTAAAGAATGTACAAATAATGGTGAAGGTTGTCAAGGTGGTTTTCCAAGCCGTGGTTGGAGATATTGGGTTACAAATGGTTTAGTTACCGGTGGTCAACATGGTGATACTAGTACATGTCAACCAATGACTATTCCACCAATGAATTTGGCCACATTCATACCGTATCTTCAAGAGCCATATATAATTCCAACACCTGTTTGTCAACAACAATGTGTGAATGGAAAAAATTATTTTAAAGATAAATATTATGGTCTTCATTATTATAGAGTATCAAGCGATGAACAATCAATACGACGAGAAATATTTCATCATGGACCTGTTGAAGCACATTATCGTGTTTATGCAGATTTTCATCATTATAAAACTGGTGTTTATCAACATCTATTAGGAACAGAATCGGTTGGACATAGTATAAAAATTATTGGTTGGGGTATAGAGAATGGTATACCATATTGGCTATGTGCAAATTCATGGACACCATTATGGGGTGGTATGGGTGGATTTTTCAAAATACTACGTGGACAAAATCATTGCGGTATTGAGAGTCAAGTGTATGGTGGTTGGCCAAGATTATGAGCTATTACATGAAAATGTTTCAAATGATATGGTGATGGATGGGGAAATAGGAAAAATGAAAGAAAAATTTCCACTGATAATTAATCATGATACTTGAAACAATTTGTTCATTTAAAAAAAAAATATCAGAATTTTACAATAAATGAATGAAATAAAAAAAAATTAACATTAAATGAAAAAAAACCCGAAAAAACGAATATTGATTTGTTTCTAGTCTGTTTTGTGCTAGTATTTATACTTCATTATTTATAATTCAGAAAAAAATGCCTAAAACATTGTTTCGATTGTATCCGGTTGTTTGATTTTTCTGTCATTTTTTTTCATTTTTTTTTTGGGTCCCATATCGGCTGACGTCAAACACCAAAAAAAAAAAAAAAACGAAAATAACAACGAACGAAACAAAATGAACAAGAAACTTTTCACTTCATTATTACAGACATTCGATAAGATTCGAAACAAAAAAAAATTCATTCCCAAATGATCTCAAATATATTGGATTGATGATTGTCAATTTCCATGTTATTGAATATTTGTCTTTATATGATTTTATTATCAGGTCTTTGTCATCATTTACCATACATTATTGTTAATTATTCGTCATGATCCACCATTCTTATTCGGCATTGCTAATTTTAGCCATAATCTATTGATATTTTTTGGTTCATCGTTTGCCGAAACGTTTGTCTATTGATATTTTCAAATCATCAATACAATTTTTCAATGAGTTTTATTTGAGTTATGTTACAAATATAAGAAAAAAAAATATACTGAAATTGAAGTTCGATAAAAAAACGGAAGAATGATGATGACAAAAAAAAAAAAGAAATGAAAAATTCATGGTTCGTTAGCCTAGTAGATTTGTCATCATCGATTTTTCTATTCTTGATTTTTTTTTCGTTTCTCTCTTTCTCGTTCATATTGTTGCCATATTATTTGGTTAGTTAGCCCAAGAATTTTTTTTTTCGTCCTTTTCATTCGTATACTTTGTCATAATTTTTCACTCATACTTCTTGATTATTAAGAATGTTCATAGAAATTCTAAAATCAGAAAATTGGCTTGCTTGTTGACTTTTTTTTCATGAATGACGATAACGTAAATTCGAAGCGTGATTTCAGTGGCCAAAAAAAAACACATACATTTACCACATATGTGTGTCACAGAAACAGAAAAATCTAATGAAAAACATGATAAAAAATGTATGAATAGAAAAAAAACTCTGGCTAGAATTTTTCTGATTTGATCACGATCATCATCATCATTGCATATGCATATGATCTGTGGTGATTTAAAGCCAAAAAAAAAATAGACAGATTAGTTAATGTATAATGATAATGATGATAAAGATTGGATGGGACAGATGTTTCTTTTTGGCTTTTAATCATCATTATATTGATCAATATTATTGCGAAATTGAACATTTAACATTTGTAACATGAACGTTTTTTCAAGATCAGATCGGAAAATATATTTTGATTAATTTTCATATAATTTTGTCGTATCTGTATTTGTCATTCTAATTGATTGTGGTTGGAAAAAAAACAGAACAGAATAAAATTTTTTAACATTTTTTTTTAGCTCATACAAGAATCCAAAAAGAATATTCTGATTGATGTATACGAATGATTGTTGTTGGTTTTTTTTCTGGTATTATTTTGACAAAAAAATAACAACACAATAGCTAACCGGATATGATGATGATGATGATGGTGAACAAAAAATCTATTGATAACATTATCAATATATTGATTTTATCGAACATCGTCATCATCATCATTATCATCATCATGATCAATATTACCATCATTATCATCATTCATGCATGATCATCATTTATTTACTTCAAAATAGATAGATAAATAGAAAATTATTTATAACAATAAATAGAGAAAATTGAGAAATTATTGACATAGACAAAATATATACCCACACAACAATTGCAACAGAATTTTTTTTTATTTTTTTTTGCCAGAATGTAATCATCCAGAAAAAAAAGTAAAATTAGAAAAAGAAAATTAGCGACACACACACACACAAACACATTAAGTTTCACTGTTATTCAATGTAAACAAGAATCAATGGCTATAAATGTACTTATTATTATTATCATTGAATGATGATTAGATTCAATTGCCATGTTAAACAAGATTCATTCATTCATGTTTTTCTTGACAATTGTCGAATGAAAATTTCATGTCATCGATATCCATTCGAATATTCGCTGCCGAGGTATTTACAAAAAAAAAATTTTCATTTTTTTCCATTCATTTAAATTTTCTTCTTGAAACCAAAAACAAAGATTCAGTTTTTTACTTCGGGATTTATTTTAAAATTTTATCAATTCTTTCCATTTCATCATTTGATCCATATACATGATGATGTGTGTATTATATGTTTTTGAGATCAATTTGTTTTTGACCAGAAAAAAAAGTAAAAATAGAAAGAGAGAGAGAAGAAAATAAGAGCAACAATAATAATAATTTCAACAACAACAACAACAACAATGGCAATAACGACAACAAGAATTGGTTTGACAACAAATAATGGTTGAGTGGCTTTTCATGTAAAAAAAAGAAGAAAAAAATATAAAAATAAAACTCGTGGCCAATTTGGCTATTGGCAAATAAAGCAATGTTATTATTATTGGCGACAATGATGATGATGATGAGAATATATCGTTCTGGGCAATTCTGAGATTTTTTCTTCAAAAAAAATATAATATTCAACACACACACACACACGCACACACTTCAATACAATAATGTTGACATAAAACTTTTTGTTGTTGTTGTTGAATTTCCTGTTGTAAAATGTATAAAGAATTTTGTTGTTGTTGTTGTTGTTGTTATTGTTTACAACTAAATTAAGTAGGAGAGAGAGAGAGGAAAAAATAAAATTTTATTTTTCAATTCAAATGGCAGACAATAAAACACACACACACACTTGAAATTGAAATCAATTTTAAAATTTGTATTTTTTTTTCTTTGAATGATTGAGGCATCTTTTTTTTGAAAAAATTGTACTAGTCAATTGTAAGACAATGTTCATCAATTTCATCAGTTTCATGAATTTATTTTCATCCATTACTTTTCAGTTCAGTTCAATGGCCTAAATTTTTTTTTTGTAATGAAAACAAAAAACAGATCAATGATTGGAAAAGAAAAACAAATGAATAAATGAATAGGACTAGGATAAAGGAAATACTAGTAGTATATAGTATCAGTTTAGGCTATAAATAACAAAAATATACAATTGACAACTCTACAAGCTAAATATTGTTTTCGGTTGTTTGATATGAGATGTGTGAATATGTGTGTGTGTGTGTGTGTGTGTGTGTGTGTGTGTGTGTAATAAATGTTTTATTTGTTCCTGTGTTTCGAATATCACCAAAATTGAATAATGATGATTACGAGAACAACATTTTTTTGTTTTGTTTTGTTTTTTTTTTTTTTGATTATTTGGTTATCCATTCAAATTATTCCATTCATTATTACATTAATTACAACCAAAAAACCATAGTTCAAACTAAACCGAACAGGAAAAATGAATGAATGAATGAATGGACAAAAAAATGATTGTTTAAAGATAGAAAAAAGAAAAACCAACAACATAAATTAAATCATTTATGTACTAAATTGTAATTACATTACAATCATCATTGTTTTATAAATGGGTGACAAACACATTTTTTTTTTGTTTTATATTTCACAAACCAAAAAAAAATGTTCTATGATGATGATTCAGATGGCTACTGGAATCATCATAATAAAAGCGACATATATAGTTTCCAGATAAACATGAAAAACAAAACAATAATTTGTTATAACCATTTATTGTTTGGCCTTAAGAATCTTAAGGCCATCATTTTCATTGTAATATTTTCTGATCCATTAGCCGCACACACACACACACGCACACATGGAGCAGAATAAAGAGAAAAAAAAAAAAAAAAAAAATAAAAATAAAACCAAAAAGCTCAGCCAACCAAACAAGCACAAATACATTTTCTATATCAACAACAACAACAACAACAATATTTTCAACATGAAATGATGATGATGATGATGATTTGAAAACATATCAAGATATATATCAAAAAAAAACTAGAATATTGAACATTTCTAAATGTATAATAGATATATATCATTCATAAAAAATTTAGTTACAAAAAAAATTGAATTGAATTGAATTTTGTAATAGCATTTTTTTTCATTCTGAAAGTTTTTTTTTGTTTTTTTTGTTTTGTTTTCTTGTCATCATCCATTCATTTACCTTTAAATTATAATCGGATAATCATTATCATTATTTCTTATCATACAAAATAATGAAATCACAAAAAATGTAACTTAATACCCACTGAAATCAACAAAACAAATAAAATGAAAAAGTAAAAGTGGAAGAAAAAATTCTTTATATTCAACGAAACCTAAACATGAATTATACGGAAACGGAAATGTTTTCCAGTAAACAATAGGAAAAAGTTGAAAAAACTTTTTTTTGTTTTGTTTTGTTTTGCAACAAAAATTACTAAAAACAACAACAACAAGATTTCATAATGAGCTAGTGTGAGAAACAAAAATTTTTTTTTTTTTTGACAAAATCTTGAATGGTGTAATGTTATATATGTTCATATATAGGTTATTATTATTGTTTGGTTCGATCATCGAATTGTTCAATAACAACAATCAATTGTTTCGTATTTACAAGCTATTTTAATTTGATTTGCTTTAACATTTCGTTTTGCATCAATGATTTTTTTTTTTTTGAAACATAACGGAAAAGTTTAAATTCAATGATGATGATGATGATATATTACCATTTTTCAAGTCCATACTTGAAGGTGAATGAAGAAACTAAAAAAAAAACATCAAAAAATAATCGAAATTCACTTGTGTTGTTTTTTTTGTTGTTTCTCCAATATTATAATTCATCATTCATTATTTGCAAAATTTTTTTACAAAAACGACATGTGATCATTGTCTGTTTGATTCTCGTGTGTGTGTGTGTGTTTGTGTGTATGTTTGCGTGTTTAAATCAATCAATGTGTCTAGTGTGTTTTCGTGTAAAATGTTAAATTATTATTGTCACCAATTCTCAAAGAATATTCTGATCAAACAGATTGATTAATAGTATTTGTGTTAGTGTTGTATGACTGTGAATGTAATGTAAT